GCGCTACCACGCCTGGCTGATTTTTTGATTTATTGTAGAGATGAGGTCTCGCTGCCCAGGCGGGTCTCGAACCCATGGGCTCAGGCAATCCACTCACCTCAGCCTCCCAAAGGCGCGGGATTACAGGCTGAGTCACCGAGCCCGGCTTGTAACATTTTTAAAAGTTAAAACAGGCTAGTTTTCTTGCCTTCTAGTCTGAACTGTGAATGGTTTACTCTGTGAACAAGAGTTATGCAAGACCTAATTAAAAAAAAATTAGGTATTTTCCATTTTATAATGTCTATATTTTGAAAGCTGAATCTTCATTACCCAAATTTTAAAAGATGGCCAGGCTCGGTGGCTCAGTCTGTAATCCCAGCACTTTGGGAGGCTGAGGCAAGTAGATTGCCTGTGCCCGCGGGTTCGAAACCAGCCTGAGCAACTTGGCGAGACCTCGTCTCTTAATAAATCAAAAATTTGCCGAGCGTGGTAGCTCATGCCTGTAGTTCCAGCTACTTGGAAGGCTGAGGGAGAAGGATCACCAGAGGCCAGTAGGTCAACACTGGGGTGGCCATGAGTGTTCCACTGCACTCCAGCCTGGGCAACAGAGTGAGACTCCAATACACACACACACACACACACACACACACGACAGTAAAACCCTTTTAAGAAAACTATAAAGCCCATTTTATGGAAAGGAAAATGAGGCTTGGGGAGGTATAATCAGAGGAACCCAAGGTCACAGTTGCCATGAGCAGAGCTGGTTGACTCCAATAGCCAAGCTCCCAAGCACCGTTTTGGGGAGTCATACACAAAACCGCCCTCAGGAACAGGAAGGCACAGGAAGAGTAGGTGAGGAGGTGACTAAAGTGAAGAGCACATGGCAACTAAAGGCAACTATAGCTACTTGGTTCCAGAACAATGTGGCCAGGTGAACAAGCATCACACTAGCTGGTAAGTGAGATATCTAGATTGTGAAATCATTTGATTTTAAAATACTAATCTTTTTGGTAAAAAAATAACAAGTATTAGAATGGGATAAAAAGAAAAAAACTAGTAAGGCTGGCTAGCATATGGAGCAACTGGAACTCTTGTGCACTACTGGTAGTAATGCAAAAATAGTATAGACACTGCAGACAGTAGTATCATATAGTCTTTATTTTTATTATTT